CGCCACCACATCATTTTTGATAAACTACAGAAAGGTCCCAGATGGTAGCAAGTAGATTGTCCTTTTCACATTTGGAATAAGACTTTAAAATAGTGCTTGTTGTTGACAATAGACATTTTTGACAGATACACATGACAAATGGCCAGGAAAAAAAAAAGAAGGTCCACCTGTTGGGAATAGAGTGCTGGCACCTATCAATTAAAATGAGCCTTGATAGATATATTTACTGTCAAACAAGAGTACATAATAAGACATTATTAAGATACAGTGAACACTAACCTATAAAGCTRGAACACCAATACAATCACAGGATGATTTCTAAGGACTGAGCTCTTCTGTTAGAGCATTTTCTGTTATCAATAGAGTTATTAGGGATTCTGGAGAAAACAATACTGATGTTTTAATACACCAGATGCATCAGGGATTTTTTGCAAACTTTCCATTTAATCTGCAGCACAAACATTTGTGTTTATTTTTAACAAGAATCCTAGAAGTCTGTCATTCTTCTCTTCTTCCTTTGCCTTTCCTCAAAAATTTAAGTGGCCCATGGGTTATCTAATGACAGACACTGTTTATATGATAAAAATCTGGTAAGTTATATAGGATTTTATCACACTCTAGTATTATTTTCAATACGTTAAAAAACACAGAAGAAACGAAGTCCTTGGTTCAGACTCCAATCTCATTTGCACTACCCAGAATCACTTACATAACAGAAAAGCCCACACAAACCTGCAAATATCTTATTCAGTTAGAATGTAATTTTTTTTTAACTTGGGAAATCAGCAAGAACAAGCACCACAGTCACTCTGCAGTAGTTCCAGAGTGAACACAAAACTATGCAAAGTGCACAGCAGAGAGCCCCCACTGGAAACTAATGAGCTTACATGTTGCTGTAAATTCACACCGTCACACTTCTTATAGACTAGCCAGCAGAAACACTTGAAGACATGGGCTTATAATAAAATGACCTGCCATGAATCAWTGAAAAGTTAAAAAAAATCCTGGAATCACAAAAGTGCATATTTCCTGAAGAAATGAGCTCATTTTATTGAAAATCAGTGGGACGTGGGCTCTCCAGGTCTTGGACTATGTTCCAAAATATTCCCCTACACTATCTAATTTGGAGACAAGGGCTGAGAGTAGCCTAGAAACATCATGCAGATCCCACCTATGGGCAGGGGAGAGCACCTCTCGGCTCTGTGCTGGGGTGGGCACCTCATCTTTCCTTTTTGCTAATAATAATAATAATTCTTAGGGCATTGGGATGCTTCAGGATACCAGGGAAATGACAGATGATGGCCCTCCTGCTTGCTCTTAACCTTCAAGTCTCCTGCACTACTCCCTTAACAGTGGAGGAATCAAACCAGGAAACTTGGGATGAAGCTGCAGCCAAGGATGCCCATCAGAAAGCACAAACCACCATTCACTGCTGCACATCATCTCTTGGTAGCTAATGCAAACGAGTCCCCAAAGATATATTTACTGAGCTAGACAGCTGTACATGAAAGGAAATAGCAGCTTATAGCTTCTACCCATAACTGCTGGCAAAAATGAGTTGCTACTTACAATTATAGTAGTGGAGGTTTAAAAGAAAGAGGAAAAAAAATAATGCTCTTTGCTGAGGTTTAAAACTAGGGATTTTAAACCCTTTCCCATCATGATGCTTGGCAATAAGCCAGGTGAACCTGCAGTGGTACTCGATTCATTGTAATGCCAGTCCACACCGATGGCATTCCCTTCGGAAAGCAAGGGTCATCAGAATGCAGTTCATCAAAGCTCTAATTAAAAAAATAGCAAAACATTATAACCCATTATCTGAAAAGTGATTAGCGCTGTATGCCTGGAACGCAGTGTTTTGGCAGAGCAAATGGCATAGAAACAGCATGGGGTCACGCTCCCCATGCATTATTTGCACGCACCCCATGGTGTCACAACACTCAGTGCACCTCCCAGAAAGCTGTTTTCTTGAGCCGTTTTCCACGACCCAAACRAAGCGCGAGGAGGTGCAATGAGGTTAAAGCCTTTAATTGTTGATGCAGTGACCACTTCTTCGTGCCCCCTATCACTATGCTTGGCTCAGTGGGCTAAATGCTGAGCCTCTGGTTCAGAGCTGCAGCTACGCTCTGGTGTAGATGGGACCTGAGGTAGCCCTCACAGATGGACTGACGTTTATAATAGAGGAAAAGACATGCTGGGAATAAASTTTGCAATGTAAAATTCAGTGCCAAATATAACGATTGCTAGCTAAAAAGTTGCACACATCATTGCCTTAACACAAATATAATGCTCATAAATTATTTTAACTTATCTTTCAGAAGTGCTTCTCATCTTCACTGCTCCAAAGTGTTTTACGATCGCTGATTGTGATTCTGATTTTATGGAGCACTTGAACTGATGCTCAGCTTTTAGCACATTTCCGCTCACCTTAAGTCAGCACAGCCATTTAGAACATAGTTAATTCTCAYGGAGGTTGATCCTTGCTGAATTAGACTCTAGACTTTCAGTGCTTGAGATCATTCAACCACTTCTAAAATGCTGAGTGTAATAAGGAGGAGGCGAGACAAAGCACGGAGAATGAATGATGCAGAGAACTGGTTAATGCTCTGCATGTGGCTTCTTTCCATGTGATTTTTTTACATAAATTCCCACTCCTGTGAACCTATTCTTTGCAGGAACATGGAGACATTAATTGCTTATTCAAATGCATGGCTTCTAGCACATCTGGGACTAACCATTTTGAAAGCTTTTAGACTTACATACTGTAGAAGAACAAATGCAAGCAGCAAAAAATAAATAAAAATACAATACCTATTATAAATTAATATGGAGAGAAAATGCAAAAAGTACTATTTGACATAAGCATTTAACTTCCTTAGCATGCCAGTGTCAGCATCATCATTATTTTGCTATATTTTTCTTCAAATCTTATGGCTTCAAACTGTAGGGGCTGATTTGGTGAGAAATTCAGAATGTACGATAGAGGTGCAACATTTTCATTTCAAAATCAGCTTTGTGTACTGATTTTTAATATACATTCTGGAGAACAGGTTCTCTGAAGTAGCTCTGTGATTAGTTTCCATCAGGATCTGCTGCAATTTTCTTGAGTTCACTGGAATGAAAGCCCAGGTGTTTCCACTTACTGGGTGGCAATTTTGGCAGTCCTGCTCTGTGGCTATACCAAGTGCTAAGCAGCAGATTATTTCTGTACAAGTGGGTGAGAAACATCGCTCATGAAAACTAAGAGGAAACCTGAGGAATCCCTRAGGATATTTTTAAATAAGAGGTTTTGCTGATTGGTGTCTCCAAGACAYATGTCCCAGGTTGGCACCCTGAACTCTACAGATGGTGATCAGAACCATCAGGTGCAAGGAATCATTTCTTCACCAGTGTAACACTAGACACCAAATTATACCCTTATCAGCAATATAAATAAATGTCTTCTGAAAACAGTCAGAGGGAGCCAGAAGCAACTTTCAGTAGAAAGAATAGAAAGAAATGGTATGCATTATTAACAACAACAACAAATCATTTGATGATTTTTTTTAACATTTTATAATTTCATTTTCAAATATTGACAAATGCATCCTCAAAATACCCAAGAAATGGAATCCTGTATGTTCTGATAGAAGGAAACGTAAGTTTCCTTAAATTTCATTTCTTATATATTGAATTTTGTCTGTTAAGTATAATTAGTGCTACTCACCATTTAAGGAGTAATCCTTAAGGAGTATCCTGGGCATATCTTGCTACATTATTTTTATAAAAGTTTTGTTTAGAGCAGATGGTTGAAATTTTATTGTTGCAATTACTGGTGCCTGACTGATGCACTATGTCAGCATATACAATATCATCATGGCAGGGATACCAAAAGGAAAAAAATAGCATAGTGTCAACACAGGTAATATATTGGTAAATGTATTTTTCCCTGTTTGTTCAAGACACTTTTCTTACTATTACTCTGCATTTGGCATGCAGTCTGTATACTTATCTAAGGAAACACAGCAAATATTCCACTTCAGTATCAACATTTTTTCAAGAATTTCCTTACAAACATATGTGAACAAGGATGGAGCAGAATTTAAACTGCAATGGGAGTTCCTGCTGGAGCCCATGAAGACACTCGCGTCCACAATGTGGAAAGCTTTATCTGCTGGAGCTGACCCTGCTTCTGAAATCTGATACGGAAGCACTTGCTGAATTTAAACATTTGCCATGCAGGCATCAGCATCTGAATTTGTGGTTCCAATTCCCTTTACAGCCAAGGGAGAGAAAACAGCATTTTTATCTCGGTCCCACAAGCCCGCTGATGGAGGCCGGGGAATCAGGCATGAGAAAAACCTCCCTCTGATTACTATCCATTTAGATGAYAGTTTAGTTCAAAGGCAGAAACTCACTGTCACACATTTGTAATTAGGTGAAATGCAACCTTCCAGAGAGTCTGTAGTCAGAATTATTCAAGAACTGTTCTCTCTTGATGAGAGATGCTGAATGCAGACGAGCCCTGAGATTGGGGATAGTCAGAGAAGGGATTGCCCTCGTGCAAAATCTGTGCCAAGTCTTGCATTATTTATATTTATGCTTCCATCACACTCTGGGAGTTCTGAGGTGCATCTTGCATCTGCAGTGCCATAAACCCATACTCAGATGAATACACAACAAATTTTTCRTGTGTTTTATGGTCTCTACATGGCTCTATGACCGAGGAAAATCATTTGGAGCAAGGCCTTAATTTCGGCTCTGAGCTGGAAGGGCCACTCACAAGATAATCTTGGGGACAGCAAGACCAATCCTCAAATAACTCCATTCTGAATGGGGTCTTCTAGCATATAATATTTTACTTAAGAATATGTGCAAGCTTTTCAACCATATCCATATTGGACTAAACTCTTTATTACCTCTTTAGAGACATTTAGAATGCAACTACCTCTTACACAAAATCCCTTTCTCACTATGTCAGTAGTTTAAGGGGATCTGAAGAAAGCAGCAAATCATTTACTCCCGGTTTTAATGCTCTTTTAAATGGCCAGAAAAGAGCTTCAGTGCAAACTACAGACAGATCTATTGCTTGTACCCAGCAGCCCATCATGACAGAAGACATAGCTAAGATTAAAAATAATAATCATAGAAATCATCTATGGAAAAGAAATCATCTTAAGTCGTTATTCAGTGGCTGGCACAGGAAACACATTCTCTACCTGAGATTAGTAATGAGTCATCTGCACGATGTGAAAGGAAAWGCATACAGAGGGGATATTGAAAAAGATTGAATTTAGAATCCAAAAATAAATAAAGCAGACTCCAGGCAGGTAAATACTTCAGTAGGTTACTGAAAAAGATGGGATTAATATCAGCCTTATCTCCAAAGCAGAGAAGTTAAAAGTACATCTGGCAATCTACTGGTGTTACCAGTATGAATAAAATTTGTGCTAAATGACAGACAAGGGATACAAAGCAGACTTTTTTCCTCAGATAAAGAGTCTGAAAATAAACAACAAAAACTCAGTGTGTGAAAACATGGTCTGGCAGGAAGGATAAAACACAGAACACACCATCAGGTCTCCTTTAAAAATAAATAAATCTATGTGCAGGCTTCATTTCACACGTCGTTTTAGAAATTAAGCTCTGAAGTGCAGGATGCAGGGTCACGGTGCTGTGGGTGCTCCGAAGGTGTGCGCTGAATTACATTGTAGGTCAGATCCCTCCAGAGGCAGCAAAGGCAGAAAACGAAAAAGGACACAGGAGAAGTATAAGGTAAAGAAAACACATTAGCTTGCCAAAAAATAGAAATAAAAGAGGTGAAAACGAAGAGGGTGTTGGGAGAATATTAATGTGGGTGTGCTAGAGTCTACACAACAGAGGGTCACAGAGGGAAGGCAGTGTTAAAAGGCAAAACTAAATGCACATTCAGACGCCCCGTGTCTGTTCTGCAGCTTGCAGCGGGTGCAGCTAGAAGACCCTGACTTGGCCAACTAGAGAGCCCAGAATTTAGATAAATCCCTTAGGCAAATCCAGGTCTGGATCTCAAATGTCATTGGCATCCAGCTCATGGTTCAGGATACATGTGGAAGGAAATAAGGAAAGTTACCTGATCACCAGAAAGTTCATCAGCATCAAGAGAACACCCAACGGGACGCAGCAAGCTGCTTTTGCAGGATCCGACAAGAAAGAAATGCTGTAATTTCATCCCACTGTTGCATTAGGGGACAGCCAAGCAGAACTTCAGGAGTGCCTGTGAAAAGCAGTGAAATGCCTCTGAAGCCCTCCAGTCCACACCGATAATGTTTGGGCACATTTAATTAATCAAACCCAAGACAGGGGGCTCAACAGAGGAAAAGCTGAATGAACTGTTATGATCTGCAATACACAGTTGTTCAGTTACACTGATTTAATTTAGTCCGTCTCACCATCTCAGATGGAATTAAGAGTGACTTGTAAATGAGAAATATTTGGGGATAGAAATACAGGACTGAAGTATTTCTGAGTTATATTTTTCTCAGTTTCCAATTCTTACACAATAGTTTTTGAACAAAAACTTCTACTGTAATCAGGTAGATCAATTTGAGGGATTAGGTACAGATTTATAAAGCTTTGGATAAAGCTTTGAATAAAGATAAGTGTGAACATACGTGTACAGCAAATTGGGATAAAGGGTAGGAACACATCCTAAAATAAGAATTCCAGCAGAAGTGCTTCTAATCAAGTTTCAAATCTGTGCACTTGAAGCATCCTTGAAGAATTTAATGTGCTTCTTGTACTAATGATATTTTTTTCTGTAAAGTTAATATAGTAATTTCCACATCATTTTAATACATTGCTACTGTTCATTAAAGCGAAGATTAATCTGCCAGCTATTAAGCATGCTATTAACTATAGGAAAAAAAAAAAGAAAAAAAAAAAAGAAAAGAAATCGACTGTTTTGACACTAACTAGGTATAATTAATGGCCACCTGAGTTAGTTTCTGTACTAGTACACAGCTTATCAATGATGTAACAAGAAATTTCGTGAGAGTAAATGCATCAAACTGCATTTGAGGCTCATTAGAAATTTTATATAAAGTATATGTAAATAATTAGGTGATGAAAGTTTAAACTTGAAGCTCCTGTGACTGCTCTATGATATATGCTTGTGCATCAACTGAAGTAGCAACCCACTGCAAAAGATTTTACAGTGTACTTTTTAAAAAAGAAACCCGTTTTCTCAGCATACAACATTATGAACATTATTCGGAGGATCTTTATCAGTGATAGGTTTCAAAACTATCATAACATGAAAGCTTACATAACTTGAAAAGATGCCCTTTGATATTAAATTCCCATTAAATAAAAAGCCCTTTCCTTAAAAAAAAGGAGAAATCAGTAAGTGCTTCTATGTCTTCAAGCTATAGACATAATTCAATRGGTCACTAAATTAAAGCAATGATGACAATTTTTGTGTGTGTGTGCAAAAAGACAGAGATAAAAAGAAAGTACAAAGCTCTCTAATACATTAGATTTGTTAATCATCTAGAGAACATAATTTCCATACCACCTATTGTGCCCTATGTAAAGAGCAACTTGCTTCCTCTTATGTAAATAAGACATGATTTTAGAGTTATAAAGACTATCTTCTCGTCACCAGAGGGACTTGGCAAATTATTATAACTACTCAAGCTAGTAATACTAATGAAGCCCAGCACTATAATTGCCCTGGGCTATCTGACAACATAGTACAGATGCTCTGGGCATTGCTTGAGGAACCCATTCCTTCACATGCTCAACGTAACAATGAAAAGATTGGGCTCTTTTTCCTGATCTGGGGAAAAATATTTTTTAATGGGAACAGATCTCTTCTTCTATCCACTCTCATCCTGAACATCCTTCCTTCTGTAGGGCAGGGAAAATGCTGAGCTGATTCAGAGGCAAAGACATTTTTACAGGGAAAGAGACATTTCTGCCCATATTTTAGTACTAATTATCTGTATGCAGCTGACTGTTACTGCTTTGGATCCAAAGAGATAGATTATTATGATTTATATGGAAGCACAGTTAGAAATGGATGCCTATTTCAAATTAAACTGAACAGGAAGGTTAGACTTTTGTGTCAGATTTAGAGGGGAGCTGGGATCACTTCCTTGCTTCCCAAGTTACTGTTCTTTATCTCACTTTTCCAGTGAAATAACTTTTTTTCTAGCTGTTTCCCACTTCTTAAATAGGAACCACAAACACTTTGGGACAGTAATAAGCACATACGCTTTGTAGAGATGGCACCTGTTTTTTTGCAGATCTCTTTGCCATCACAGTATAGTACATAATAAGAGCATGCTACGGAGTTGAGATACCTGGACATACCTGGAGGCACTAAGAATATCTCACCATAAAGTATTTTTAGATATATGTTCTGCAACAACGAAATTCCCTTTAGAAATGATGAGGAGAAAAGAATATTGTAGTTACTAGAGTTAATGCTTTCTTTGCCAGAAGCCAGAAAAAATGAAGAGATATGTACAAGCCCAGCCCACAGAAATTTCTATTACACACACTGAGCCACCAAGTCCAAACATTGAAAGCTGATCTCCAGAATATATTAAACACTATCTCTGTATTCACGGTGATTATTAAAAACGGATAGCTTAATCAGTGTAGAGTATAGCTGAATTTCAGTAAAGTATCTGATCTGCATCCTAGCAAAGCTGCTGTATAAACAGAAACTCTCTCTTGTGCAGGATTAAGGAATGAGATGAGAGATGGAGAAAAAAGATATTGGTAATTTTAAGATATGTAACTCCAGAGTACGCATTTAATGAACATACATTACTTGAAGTCCAAGGGAATTTTGATCAGTTGGACATATTGCTCCAGATAGTTATGAGTCAAAAATTTATTTTTGTTTAAAAAACAAAATTGTTATATTTGAAATACAACAAAAAAAATTCAAACTATAATAAATTAATCCCTTTATACTGAAGATTTGAAGACAAACAACAGCCAATACATCAGTGATCTCTGACCTTCTCCAGAAAAAGAGGAACCAGCATGATCTTAAAACAGTCCCTTACTTATCTAGGGTAAATAAATTTTTGCTGCTGCTGCAATAATGAAGATAGCAGACTTAATTAAATAATTCAGCTATAATTTGAAGAGCTGAATTTTTATACAAGTGATCCCTATGCTTAATTTGTTCATGTCACTTTTCATRGCTAAATTTTGTTTATAAAAGCAGATAACAATAAAAGCCTCCTTTAAAAACAGTTTCCTTCATCAGTTTGACCAAAGATAAGTTGAGGACAATGCACAAAAAAGTACACCAAATACAGGAAAAATGATGCACTGCACTGAATCAGGTACAGAACCCTACTACCAAAATTAAATCACACATTTTATCTCTTTCAGACAAGATTTTACATTTTTATGATAGTCTYGACAGAAGCAGCATGTGCAGACCTACAATCCAAATTGGCAGGCTACATCATACATCCATGCTCAWCAGCATCCCTCAAGAAACCATGATGATTAAAAATGATCTTTTTGGACTGAGAGTAATACGTGCTATAGGGGGGCAAGTTATGGTCACATACGTCATGAGTAACTTACAGAGTTAAAGAGGATGCTTTTTTCAAGCAAAGTCAAGCGGATTTATAGTGGGAAAAAATAGCTATAAAAGTCTGTTAAAGAAAAAGAAGTTTCTGGAATAGCAAATGCTTCAGCTTCACACCATTTATTAACTGCAAAGAGCCTGGTTACGGTTATGCAGATTCCATCATCAAAATTATTGATGTACACTGAATACAAATATATAAAATAAATAGTTCCATTATAATTCTATAAATCATTACATCTCATTGCAGTAGAACAGACAATCTCTGTAAATTGAACTACAGGTATTTTTTCACATTTCTTCAAAAAAAGACCTTACGAAAGATGGTATCCAGCCAAGAAAATGGCCTTGTAGAGATATCTTCTGCAGAGGAGGTAGCAATGTTCTTACTGCATAACCCTACCTCATCAAACTGGTATTAACAAATAATATCCTAGGTCTTGGACTTCCTGACACCTTTAGTTATTGATTACTAGGCAGGTTTTTAACATCCTTCATCTCTTAGTAATCTCTTTTATCTTTTTAATCTCCACTCTTCTCAACTATCTTTCTCTAGATGATTCCTTCAGTCCCTCACCATTTTTCATTTGACATCTTCTTGTCAAATGTTAGGAATAATTAATTTATTGGAAAATACACAACAGCTTGTCTAATTTGGTTTTACATTGTGAACCACTGCAAAATAGCCTGTTTGACAGCTAAATTCCCAATAAATAAGTTGATGCAATCTCTTTGAAATCAAATAATGCTATGAAAGATTTCAGTCCCTATTTGTCTGAATATTTGTTTCTCAAAAAACAGCCTAATTAATTTATGAGGGATTCAAATTCTTTGTGGATCTCAAATCACCCTGCAAAACAGTCTACACATTTCCATAAACAATTGTAAAACAATCTGCAATTTCTACTCATATCCCTTATAGTGCCTCCCTGAGAAGAATACAAATGGCAAGTAATTAATAAGCACCTGCAAATTATGAGATATTTATCTGTGAAGCTAACAGCAAAATTGATAAAGGAGAGGAAATAGAGCAGAAAAATATCAGAATAAAAAAAAATGATACATCAGAAACAATTTCCTGAAATCAAGACTTCTTAATAAAAGGGATTATCTCTAAACTGTCAGTTTTTTTTTTTTTTTTTTTTTTTAACCAGGAAACTCAAAGTACAGAAGAAAAGACAGTTAATGATCTGTCCCCATAATGCAAAGGAGCACCTGCAGAGGAGCAAAGTAACCTGCCCTAAGATGAACCCTCAAGGGTTGCGAAGTGGCAAGGTTTTGTTTTCCCTTCTTCAAAACCTTACCTACCTACTCGTACAGAGAGATATAGATTGCAAATAGCTACAGGAGTGGAGAATATCTGACCATATGTTCCAAATTATCATCAAACCATGTTTGATTGAARCACACTCTCAAATCTTCATTTTCAGTCCTGTTTAACAGTGCAAGCATAATAAAAGTGCCCTATTTCAGTGGCTATGAAAGTGCCCCATATTGCCAGAAAAAATATCATTGCTACGTGAATGATAGGGTCTTTATTTTAATAGACTCATAATCAAATCATAACAGTTTATAGTCTCTTGAAGTAGAAGAAATCTTTCATACTTGTGATCCCTGCACTGGAGTGTAGTGAGAAGCTGACATGCATCATCACT